CGGTCGTCACCGCCAGCCTTGCCCCGCCACCAGCCAAAGGAATCAGGGAGGAGAGGATTGGGGAAGGAAACCCTAGGGCGCTCCCATAGATGCTTGAAGAGAGGCGCGAGGTGTGCATCTCGCGTAGTGGAGGTAGGTGGGGGAAATGAGGCGACTCCCCTCGCCCCCTCCGCTCTAGAAGGCGCCACGCTCGGCCTGGTGTTGGGCCCCGCCTGTCGGTCGGGTGGCCATGAAGGGGCTCCCACGCGTCCCGCCGCCATTAGCAGGCGGTTGGTGAGGTGCGGGGCCACCCCGACCCGGTCCGCGCCCGCCTGGATCTCCACATGCCCCCCGTGTACCGCACCATGGATCGTGCCGTGTGTCGCACCCACTGGAGACGCGCTCACCGCCGGGGATCGCTCCCTTATCCTCGCAAAATGACACGGCAGCGAGATAATGTCACCAATGTCTATGAATTCCCCTGCACGGAGGAAACGCGCATCCACTATGACTCCGCGGTCATCCACCAGATTAAGCCGGAGAGCATCACGCCGGAGAATCAACTCGCCATCATGGAACGTGAGCGAGCGGTGCTGCAGATCGGCGGCGTAAGATACGCGCCATCTCTCGTCCCGTGCGTCGCCCTGTGTGTCGTGCGAGCACGAAGCCATCTTGTAAAATGATCATGTGTGCTGGTGTGAGCATGTGCACATATACCGCCCAAGACAATTCCGACGGATTTTCTTGGAATCCGATGGCTCTAATTAACCCTTTCACCTCGCACGAAGTCACACCATATTTTGATGTGAAGATACAGTGTAAATAGGGACAGTACATTATGCATGAAGTCCATGCAAGTGACTGTAACTTGGTTAGAAACATAAGTAATTAACATGTGTTTGGATGGTTACAAGGACAGTAAAGTCCCATGTCATCAGGGTTTAAATCCTAGACTTAACATTAGATGCGCTTCTGGATTTATTTTAGTCCTTCCAATGATGTGCGTTGAGTGAGAGGAGATGTTCCCCTTGACTACAAAGGTATCTGTGGCGACTTCGTCAATCTTACGATGATGTGTATTAATATGTGCTTGGTTAGAAAACTATGTAATTAATATGTGCTTGAATGGTTACGAGGACAATGGTATCACTGCCTATCAGGGTTCAAGTTTACTGGATTTGCTTTTCGATTTATTTCAATCCTTTCGACGATGTGCGTTTAGAGGGAGGAAACGTTCCGTTGACTACGAAGGTGTCTGTGGCGACTTCGTTAATCTTGAAATAATGTGTCGTCTTAGTCTTTCGGAGGTGCTCATAGATGTGTGTGTATGCGTTCACAGAGGTGAGTGTATATGAGTATGTATGAGCGTCTGTGTCTATAACGTGTTAAAAAATAATTAGGGCCTGTTTGGTTCCAATAAGTCACCTGACTTATAAGTCAGGTGACTTAAAACCAGTGACTTTTAAGTCACGCCTGTTTGGTTGTCACCTGACTTATAAGTCACATAATCACATCTTCTCATCTTGTGTTTTTATGTAAAGACAATGGGACCCACGTAAAAGAGGATGACTTATAAGTTTTAAGTTGGGATGGAGCAACTTATGATTTATAAGTTGAGGTAAGTTGGGTCTATTTGGCAAAATAAATCTTTTTTTCACTTTTCGACTTAGAGGGTGTTTGTTTCCAGAGACTTATTGGTCTAGGGACTTAAATAAGTCCCTATAAGTCCCATCTAAACCAAACAGAAAGGACTTATAGGGACTTAAAGTGGGTATTTGGGACTTATGAAATAAGACTCTCAAGGAGAGACTTATAGGGACTTATAGTTATAATATAATCTTATAGAGACTTATAAGCCCCAAGAACCAAACATGTACGGACTTTTTAGAGACTTAGGACTTATAAGTTGGGACTAAAAAAAGTCCTAAAACTTATGAACCAAACAGGACCTTATAAGTTGGCGACTTATTTGGAACCAAACAGGCCCTTAACCTGCCTATGTGTGTAGATTGGCGAGGTATATTAGTTTATATTTTTGTTGCCCTTTTCTTAACTTTGACATTTCCACTGCATTATTTAAGAAACAATTACCACTACTCGCCACGTCTCTCTGCACGTGAGCTGTGTCTTTCTCCTATCCGTTATACGTACGTAGTGAGAATCTGAGATTCTTCGTAGATTGCCAATTTTAATGCTAATAACCTCTCCTGATCTAGCCTGCAAATCAACCAAAATGTAGTTCCATGTCTGAGCAAATTGACCTGAAATTTGACGTGTTTTTTTTTTTGCGGGTAAAAATTTGACGTGTTAATTAAATTCCACAGAGGATCTCGTAATTCTCTCTCTACCTGAAATACTCGCTAGACAAAACACAAAAAGGTTTTAGGTACTGTGGCAAAATTTAAGGTTCTTGCTCTGGTTCATAAAATTCAATTCTGTTTGCTCAGTTGGGGTAGGTTCTGTCAAATGTTTACATGGACCCACAGTGCAGAGACCCTACCAGGCATGATGCGAGGGCCACCCCCACCCTTTGCTTTGCCTGTAAAAAGCAGCAGTTGGCAACTGGCATGGCTGCAGCCTCGACTCCTTGACCCAATAAGTTTTCATCGCAGGCTTTTTACCGGCTCTTTTAGGTGAATTTATTGAACACTCATTCAATCAATCATGCCCTGCCAGACCACCACTTTCATTCAAAGAAAAAAATGATTAGTGAAAGTGAGATTATCGCCCACAAATCCTGATGTTAAAAGATAATGTGGTGATGAGTTCCAGAAGAAAGAATAATCACTTTGGCACTGCCATGAGCCATGCTGGTTAAGAAGAGCACATGAACCCTACCTGTTCTATATTTAAATAGCTTTCTGTGAGGCTCCAAGGTGCTCCTGAAGAGGAAAATGTTCAGATCTCATAGCCCCATGAGGTAGGTATGCTTGAATCTTGCAATCTGTTTGCACTGTTTGATTGGAGAAAAGGGGATAAACAACTCCACCAAGAAAACAAAACACAGACAGGGCCATGGAAATGGCATGGTTCCACCATTAGTTTATGAGCTAAACCACACTTGATTAACATATTTACCATACCACTAATGGAAAAAATGGGGAGTGCAGTTTGGGGACCCCATCTGTTTGTCCCCTGCTCTCTCCTCCATCTCACAAAAAAATACTGATTTGTTTTATATGTGGGAAGCCATACCAGGATTTGTACCTATGATTGGTGCTCCTCATACAAATATGTGGCATGGAAGGAATAGCCACACGGACAAGCTGTAACCCCAGTAAGAGGAATGCATTGATGAATCAGCAGCAGCACTGCCTTTTTGAGCATTGGAACGCAATGCAGGGAAAAAAAACTTGAAACAAGAACATATTTCCTCACACCAACAACAGGCTTTTTCATATGGCGAACAAATAAAGAAACAAAACGAAAATCCATTTTTGTTGATTTTCTCATATCTTCAGTCTCTCATATCCACAAAGATGTCATCGAAAATCCCTCGGAGAAGGGAAAGGGGGGAAATAAATAATAAATACCTAAAATGAAGAAGGGGAGACAAAATTGTGAAGAGGAAAATTGACTCCCCCCCTCCCATCAGCACACACCCTCCTCTCTTCTTTCAGAGTTCAAGAAGCTTATTGTTGCTGCCCGCATTCCTCTAACCGTCACAATGCTCGATAATTACTGTTGCACCACAACTTCGTTTCCATGATGATCGATGGATGGGCTTTCGGGGTAAGAAAGATCGACGATGACTCAATGAACAAGCCGAGAGCAGCACCAAGCTATATATGTACGGCGCATCAGATCGGCGATGCGCTTAGCCTTCTCCTCTTGGAAGCTGGAGTGGAGGCCTGATCGTTGCTGTTACTGTTGTTGTTCGAGGGTGATGAACCTGGTGTTGTGTCATCATTCCTGAAGCTGAAGCATGGCACATCCAGCACCCCGATCGGGCTCAGCGGCGCTGAAAGGCTCGCGCTGAAGTTCCCTCTCTTCTTCACCAACAGCCCATAGCATCCCGCAATCATCTCCTGTAGATGTGATCACATTTCAGAAACAGTGCAATTGCAATGGTGCATCGGCTTGCGTGTTCCATAACTTGAGAAGATAATCACCTTATTTACAGGGATTTCAGATGCTGCAAGGGCACTGCTGAAGCCGATGACCTGATTCTCAGCGAGCGCCCATAGAACCACTGCGGCAGCGATCTCAGAAGGTCTGAATGATAAGAATCTATAGTCTGCAAATGCACATCACAGGAATGCTCTAGTTAGTAAATCATCACCAGATATTGCCATTGGCAATGTAGGTAAAACTTTTGGTTAACTCATCGAGCACCATGGCCGAACCTTTCACAGTGGCGACTATGAGCTCGGCACACCGTGAGACCAGCATGTAACTGGGTGGCTTCCCTTCATTGAACTTGTCCAAGAAGTAGCACAGGAAAGAGAATGGGGTCACAGAGTGCATCCTCCATTTCAGGGTCTCCATCACAATGAGCTCCATCCTCTTGATGTTCCTTGGTTCAAAGGCATAGTACTCATCGCAAACCTGTCGTACATTCATCCCATTTTAGCAAAATTTATCGAGGGATCATCGAACGATTATTGATTTTACAATGTTGTAACTTCTCCTTCACCTGAAGGTCCACGGGAAGAGGGGCCACGGTCTCCTCCATCTTGACAGCAAGAGACAGGCAAGCAACTGACATTAACTGTTGCATCCAGGACTTGTCATGCTACAGCATCAACAAACAAACAAGAACAAGAAACGCAATCATCAGCAACAGATCAGCTTGCACAGCTGTTAGCAATGCAGAAGTTGAGATTCTTACTGGGAGATCAAAGGAGGAGAGGAACCTATCCATGTAGTTCACCGAGAGGCAAAGGGTCAGTGGTCCAAAATTGTAGTGGGAATGGACCTGCAGCACACACGAGAGAAGACACAGGATGAGCAATGGACAGGTTCCACTTAAAACAAGCTTGTCCGGATCGAGGAAAGGGGGAAGCAGCTGGCTCATTGATATCTGGTGATGGCGATCGAATTGGCATGGAAGCCCACAAGATGCAAGGACGCACGGCCAAGACTGGATTTACACGAGAGTCAAACGCACAGTGCAGGCATGCAACAACCTACCTAGAACCAATTAATCCATCACGGAAAAGGAAACTGATTGCGAGGAGCAGTAAATCCCAGAGATTTTCCTTTTTGTTTCTCACCGTACCTTGCAAATCCAATCCATGGCGTCCTTCCTCCAGGAGGACTCGAATCCGCCGTGCCCCAGCCGCTCCACGTAGCCGCCCTTGGGCCGATGATCCACCTCCTTCTCCACCAGCGCCCGCATGACCTCGTCGCTGTCGACCGGGAAGACGGCGCCGACGTCCAGGAAGCCCAGGCCGCGGCCCGCCCCCGCCACCTCGCCGTCGCCGCCGCCGCCGCCGCAGCCGCCCAGGCCGAGGACGCTGTTGCTGTCCTCGCCGCAGAGCAGGGTGGAGGAGGCGCCGAAGCAGAGGATGCCCATCTCGAGATCGCCTGGGAAACGCCGGCCGGCCGGCCTCCTCCTCGACTCGTCCTCCGCCGCCGCCGCTCTCGCTTGGGGGGGAGCGTTTGGTGGTACTAGCACAGGGCTCGGTCCTTGCTCTTGGGGTCTAAAAAATGGTGGCTGCTGCTCCTTTCCCGGGCTGTGGCCTAGATAAAGATGCGCCAATGGAGGGAGAAGGCGCCGCTCCTCTCTCCTCTGTACCGGCGTGTGTCTTGGGAAGTGGCAAAGGGAAAGAAAGACAAGATGTGGGGGGGAGGGGTGGGTCTCCTGGGGAAGAGAAAGGGGGGAGGGCTTTGGGAGTTTTATAGGGCCTGTGGTTTTAAGGAGGAAATGATCAGGCAATAATTTTTGCAATAGGTTTAGCGGCAGATTTGGGGGCATCCATCGAGCATTTTGCTCCATCCATCCGCCCATTTGTCGTAGCGATCCCATCACAACCGTCCATCATTGATGTTGTATTTGTGCGAATGAAATAATTTCTTCTTTTGCGTGGGATTCAAAGAAGAAATTGAAGTTACACCGATGATTTTGTACTCGTGTGGACGAAATAATGGCTACTCCGGAAGGAAACGACAATGAAGGAAACTGAATGATCTGTGTGTGCGCGCGCGGATAAAGCGGCTTTTACCATCAACTCGCCGGATGGAGCGAAATCAATGAAACTAGATTGATGCCATTTATATGCCGTTTCCCCATGATTTGAACTCCTTCGGCGGGCTTGATGATGTTTATATGTCGTTTCCCCCTGATTTGCACTCCTCTAGCGAGCTTGATGCTATTTATATGTTGTTTTTCCCTTATTTGAACTCCTCCAACGGGTTTGATATTATTTATATGTCGTTTTCCCCTGATTTCAACTCCTCGGGCGGGCTTGATGCTATGTATATCTCATTTTCCCCTGATTTGAACTCCTTCGGCGGGCTTGATGCTATTTATGTGTCATTTTCCCCTTATTTGAATTTCTCTGACAAGCTTGATGCTATTTATATGTCATTGTGCCCTGATTTAAACTCCTTCGACGGGCTTGATGCTATTTACATGTCGTTTTGCCCTGATTTAAACTACTCTGGCGGGCATTTTGCTCCATCCATCCACCCATTAGTCCACACATTATACAACCTCGATCATCGTTGCTGTATTTGTGTCAATGAAATATATTTCTTTTGCGTGAATGCAACAACAAAAAATGAAGTTACACCGATGGTTTTGTACTCGTGTGGACGAAATAATGGCTACTCGAGAAGGAAACGACAATGAAGGAAACTAGAGTGATATTACTGGCTCGGGTGAATGATGTGTGTGCAAATAAAGTGGCTTTTAGCATCAACCCATATGGAGTGAAAACAAATGAAACTACAATCATAGTGTGTTTAGTAGGTTTCCTTGCAATGTTTGAACTCGCTTCCCTCTCTTTCCCGCTTGTGGGTCTGCTGGCAGTGTTTGAACTCGCTTCCCCCTCTTTCCCGCTTGTGGTTGTCCGGGGAGTGTTTGTACTCGCTTCCCTCTCTTTCCCGCTTGTGGGTCTCCTGGCAGTGTTTGAACTCGCTTCCCCCTCTTTCCCGCTTGTGGTTTTCCTGGGAGTGTTTGTACTCGCTTCCTTCTCTTTCCCACTTCCTATAAACTCCGGATCATGATGTATTTCAATTATGATTAATGGAAAGGGGATCCTGGTTCAAAAAAAAGTATAATGATACTATTACGTCTACATGAGAAAAGTGGTTTGTGCCAACAACGTGACCATTGCAACAAAATAAATCAAACTAGGGAACATATCCATTCATAGTTTGTAGAGGTGTATGCTACTCTCTATGCCAAAACACTCATTTATGATAGTGGCATGATCTCCCATTACTTTTTATCATTATTTTTTGTAAATATATTGCTTCCATCCAGAATAAATATACATTATGAAATTAGATTTCGTGGTAGATTTTAGCATCATTTTTTTATGTGACGACTCTTTATAATTGATACTCAAAGTTAAGAGAAGTTTTACCAAAAATGTTCTAAGATGAGTTAGTTTTTGAAGCTATAGAGTGTAAGCTTTGTGGGGGTTGGCGCCACGGGGACCTTGCCTCCAATGAAAGAATAGTTGACCTTGAGACATTTGGAATCAAACCAATGGCTTTATCCCTGATGGATTGATGAGAACCATCTCACAAAACATACGGCCAGTGGCTGCTTCTTGATTTCTATTGTAGTTATTGTTACAATCATCAAATAATGTGTGGGTGGGGCAGAGTGATGATTACTGAAAAGAGGATATAAGGAGGCAAGGGATTAGTTGCGTAGAGAACAAAGAATCTAGAACTTTACTTCATCTACCTCACCATGAGCCCATACATGGAGTCCTACTCTACACAGAGGTAATAAACCCCGTGCGACATAGGTACAACCACAAAACAGATCATTGATGTTTGTCCTTGTGTGAATGAAATGGGTTTACTGGCTACATGATACGCTGGTGCAAAAAATGATACTAGGTTCGTGATATATACTCTAATGAATGTAATGATTTTAACAACTACTTGACAAGGCATACCAGAAACAAAAAAACATGGACCAAAACTATTACACTCATCTGACTAAGATGATTTTTACCGGTAATTCAACATGTGGACTAAGACAAATTAAAACTACACTCATTGTATTGCACTAGTGTGAATAAAGTGGCTTTTATCAATGTAAGTGCATCTAGTGCCACCCCTTTGTTGGTTTGAAGTATTGACGACAAACTTGGTTAAGAGACTAATGTGTTTGTGAGTGTACACATGATAACACAGATAGAAGTCCATGGAGATTTGTTTTAGCCATCGCAGACGACCCTAAAAATGCATGAAGACATTGAAGACTTTGGTGGCTCACCAAGACTTAGCTTGAAGATTATGGAACACGAAGACTTTGTTCTTTTGGTAGTTTCATTTTCCTCTTTCTTGACTCATAGGAACCACCGTACAATTAAGTGGGATCGAGGCGATATGAAGTCAGAAACTGACGTGATGCTCAATCTAAAATCCTATGTCTTCCAATGAAGATTTTGATAGAAAATCTCTTTCGAGTTGGTTCAGTCAGCTTTGCTTGTAACTCAAGTAAAGTTGATGCATGTTTTTGAAATCTGACCGTTGGTACATGTGTCGATTGGCCATTAACGTAAGGTCATTTTGACCATATCATGTTGGGTTGCTACCCACGCTATAAATAGCCTCCACCTCCACCATAAGTTGGTGGCTACTTTGAGTTATTACATGAATTCTGTCATTTTAGACCAACCCACCTCCGAAGCATCTGAGAGAGAATTCTTGTGAGGAAAAACCTCAAACACTCAGAGCCCAAAGTGATAATCGCCAAAGGCATTCGTTCTGAGTGAACCAGAGACTTATTACAATTGGAAGACTGTGATCTTCCAGACGGTTAGGCGTCATGATCTGAGCATCCAAGAGCCATTGTGGATTACTGGGAACAAGTTTATGAAGGTTTCGAAATTGGGCAAGGTCTAAGTGACCTTAGCTCAAGGAGAATAAGGTGAATATTTGGTCTTCTGAGTTAAATCTCAGCCTCTTCAACCAGCAGATGTACAATTGTCACAACAACTGGAAATGGTCAAACAAATCACGTGTCTTCACCGAGCAACCAGTTCTATATATTGACTACTTTACTTCCATTCTTGTATTATGTATCCTTTGCTTGATCCTATGTGTGAAGACTTTGTTTGGAGACATTCATCATGATTCTGTCCTCCAATTCATAGTACTTGAGGTTTTTTGCCTATTCTACATATACCGCTACCTACTTTGCCTACTAGCTTTTGTTCTCATGTCTTTAGCTTCTCATTCATTTGCACCCGCACAATAGCTTTACTTCTGTCCTGTATTGCTTCACACATGTTTTGCTTCTGTATCTTCGAAGACAATACCTGTTTCGAAGATTTTCATAAAAATCTCCCATTCACACCCCTCTAGTCGATAAGCACTTTCAATCGACATCTCGGCGACTCAAAATGGAAACTAATGAATGTATCCATTGGAACTTTCTGTCAGGCCTTATACACCCCACCCTATATTTTGAAGTACTTCGCCTTTAGAGTAGTGACATGTTATATGATTACATTCTTTGCTCATCAATTTTTTAGGGATTTCTATTTTCGTGCCCCTGGTTGGTTCGTTGTGCTCAGTTTTGCCCTCCCTACTCCACCATGTGCTCACAAAAGCCCAAACGAAGCACTTCCATCTGGTCAAAGTGTTTGACCATTATCTCCTGACTAGTGGGGTCGCTCCATTCTCTCTCCACTCTCTCTCACCACAATGGTGACGAGGTAGGGGTCGAGGCAACTTATGACTAGTTGGGTGGCGTAATATCCTGACAGGTGGGGTTGCTGCACTCTCTCTCGCCATAGGGGTGACGCAGGTAAAATCCTGACATGTGGGGCCGCTTGATACCCTGGTTGGTGTGGTATGGCCACTCTCTCACCATAGTGCTGACGCGGTAAGATCCTGACTTGTGGGGCTGAGGCATCTTATGATAGGTGGGGTATATTCTCTCTATCATTTGTGAACGGCCGACTACACACAACCCCGATGAAAGTGCATCATGCCCTTACATCATATTTGATGTTGATGACAACATACATGTAGGGGACTAACTATGTTTATCGAGTACATCTCAGGTGTTAACGCCCAGATGACAAATGTGTATGGATCATGGACGCATGAAATTGGTATGACTCAAGGAAGAATAAACACTATACCAATGGTTCCTTTATTGGTTTATTCTTGAGTATAGGGATCCCACACTATTAAGAGGGGATCAATAGGGTTAGCAAAAGACTTGCTCAAGTCATCACGAACTCCCCTCTGTTTTCCTACCTTACCACGTCTCCTAAAAATGACCAACTCATTTAGAACTTTGGTGGGATCAATTATCATCACATACTCTTGCCCTCTCACTCCTTATATGTGTTCTTGGCCTGTAGGTTGCCTGATCTCCGGGGCCCTGCCAGAAATCTGACTGACTATCACAGAATGAGGTCCTCTTTTGATCCTTGGTTGCTGAATGTCCGGGCCGCCCCGTAGCATCGGATGTCCGGCACTTCGCCGGATGTTCGGGCAGCCATATGTTGCCGGATGTCCGGATGCTCCTCGAAAATCTGACCCATCACTCCAGAAGCTTAGCCCCTCTCGAGTCTGCACACGTCGGATGTCTGGCCCACTGCCGGATGTCGGGGGTCTCACTAGTATGTCGGATGTCCGGCCTCTCTGCTTTTCCTCCGCTCTTTATGTTTCTCACATGGTCGTCTCACTGTGCTGGATGGCCAGCCTCTGGCCTAGATGTTGAAAGTGCGTTATATCGACTAGAGGGGGTGAATAGGCGATTTTTACAAATTCGTCACCGAGGAATTTCAGGGTGAGGAAATTCCTAAGCAACGAACTACTTAG